TCGCCTTGGACATTTTTAATCTGTAGCTCTGCTCTAAAAGAACGTACGTACCTGGGCCCGCCTACTATCCTCGGAAACGTAAAGTGATTGGCTAGAAGTGTATCACAGCTCAGGAAAAAAAAGCACCGAAATAAAGCACCGAAATGTGCGCTGCTTTTTGGTCTGGTTACTACCGTTTATGTCAGAACCGGTGCCATCATGGCACCGGACACCGGTACCCATCCCTACACTGCACTAAGAGCATTGATTACCACTAGGTATTGCCTTCACCTTTCACATCTACTCAAGCTCTTCTCTCAGCACCTTTAGTTCTCTAGCTCCTCATGTTCCTTCTTCCTGTCCCATTTCTCTTTGCTCATCTTCTTTCTCAGGTTTCTGTTGCCTGCTGTATTCACTAAGCACACAGTCTGTTGTGGCCATCTTCCTGATGGATGTTTGTTGTGTCATCCTGGAAAGTGGTTCTGACACTCACCAGTCCTCAGTCTTCCTTGTTCTGCTGGGTGTACAGTCTCAGCATGCTGGATTTGGGGTGAAACCCTCCATGCATGGTCAAGGAGGGTTTTATGTTTCCTTTATGTTTCCTACCATTTGTTTTGTTTTGTTTTTTGGCAAAAAAGAATAAAACCTTACTCTTCTGGATGTCCTTCCTTATGTCAAGATCTGGTTTGGTACAGTTGCCAGTGCTCCTAGGTGTTGCCCACTTCTTGAGTGGTAAGAAAATAGAATAGCTTAGTGAAAAGGGAAGTCTGGGTTTCAAAAAAGAAAAGAGAGACACGTGGAAATTACACTCATAGCAAGTCAATATGAAAGAAACTGCTCGACTTCCCTAGTATTAGTTACCTTACTTCATTTCTAATGGAAAATAATGTTTTGGGTTTTTTTTAGCCGACATGTAATCGGTGCAGGCAGACCCTTTGAACATGTTATATTTATATTCATATTTTTTCTACACACAATTTATTTTGTGATAATAGTATATTATCACTACAACCCACATAACCAGAGTGTTTTTGGAGAAGTGTGTATTGCTTTGGATATATTTTGCACACTGTCGATGACTAATGCAGGTGAAGAGAGCTTTCATTAAGCTAAATCAGATTAAAACCCAATCTTTGCACAGTGTTATATTTTTAGGGCCACCGTGATTTGCAACATTAAACTAATATTAAATTGGGCTAATATTTTTTTCATGGGGCCCCAAATCCCTGGTGGCACCCCTGAGTACTCTTCCCCATTCCACACTCTTTAAGATTATGTTAAGCAGCCTGGTCAAAAGGTCCACGGCCTGCTGTTCTACACATCTCCATACCTCCATAGGCATGTCATCTGGACTGACTGTCTTTATCTTTTTGTGGCTATTTCAACAACATCTTTACCCCTCTATTCATCTTGACCTTTAGTAGACCTGGCTGGATTTTTACAGTGTCACATGAGCTCCTCGATTGTTTCTATTTTGTAATGATACTGATTGTAAAATACTTTAACAGTGCTGTTGCTTATGAATTAGCACAATTTGTGCAGCTAATATTTTTTTATTAGAAGCTGCAGTGTTCAGTACATCAACATAACAACAAGTTGACTTGTTTTTTCATTTAGTCTTTTACCTTATTGGGTAGTATAACTGATTTCATTTTAATCTAAACAATTTTGACAATAAAAAGAATAGAATCAACATTTTACACTGCAATGGATTTGTTGGTGAAATTAAACACTGACTTATCATTTTTGTTTTGGCCAGCCTATTACAGAATGAAGTATCACAGACTGAAGAAAAAGAAAGAAAATCCATCCATCCATCCATCCATCCATCCATCCATCCATCCATCCATCTATCCATCCATCCATCTATTCATCCATCCATCCATCCATCATCCATCCATCCATCCATCCACCCATCCATCCATCCATACATCCACCCATCCATCCATCCATCCATCCATCCATCCATCCATCCATCCATCCATCCATCCATCCATCCATCCATTTTCTTCAGCTAATCCAGGGCCAGGTTGCAGGGCCAGCCTAAGCAGAGAAGCCCTGGACTCCCTCTCCTGGGTACCTCCTCTAGCTTGTCAAAGGATTTCCTAGGCCAGCCAAGAAAAATAATCTCTCCAGTGTTTCCTGTGTCTGCCCCGTAGCCTCATTCAATGCCCAGAACACCTCACCCAGGAGGCGCCCAGGAGGCATTCTTGTCAGATGCCTGAACTTCCTCACTGGCTCCTTTCCTACTCTGAGCCCCACCCGAATTGCTGAACTCCTCACCCTATCTCTTAGGGAGAGGCCAGGTAAATCTTGAGAGAAAGTTCATTTCCACCACTTGTATCCGCAATCTCATTCTTTTGGTCACTACCCAAAGCTCGTGACGATAGGTGAGGGTAGGGACATAGATCAACCGGTAAACTGAGAGCCTCGCTTTTATACTCAGCTCTCAATTCCCCACGACGAACCGGTACAAGGCATCACTGCTGCTGCAGCACCAATCTGTCTGTCAATCTCCTGCTTACTTCTCCCATCACTCATGAACAAGACCCTAAGATACTTAAACTCCTCAACTTGGGGCAGGAACACATCCCTGCACTTAAGTCGGCACTCCACCCTTTTCTGACTTTTGGAGGTGCTGATTCTCATTGCCGCTACTTCACACTCGGAGCTGCTGGCTGTCACTTGATGAAGCCAATAGAACCACATCATCTGCAAAAAGCAGAGATCAGATTCTTAGACCACCCAAGTATAAGCCTTCCCCCACTTGGCTGCGCCTAGAAATTCTGTCCATAAAAATTCTGAACAGAAAAGGGCAGCCCTGGTGGAGTCCAACACCCAATGAGTCCAACTTATTGCTGGCTACGCAGACCAAGCTCTTTTAGCAGTTGTATAAGGATCGAATGGCCCCTCCCGAAGCACCTCCCACAGGACAGTCTGAGGGGTACAGTCAAATGCCTTCTCCATGTCCTTAAAATACATGTAGACTTGTTGGGCAAACTCCCAGGCGTCCTCAAGAAACCTGAAGAAGGTAAAGAGCTGGTCTAGTGTTCCATGACTGGGACAAGAACCACATTGTTCCTCCTGTACCGTGGTTGGACTAACGGACGGACTCCAGCACCTTGGCATAGACTTTCCCAGGGAGGCTGAGGAGTGTAATCCCCCCATAGTTGGAGCACACCTTCCGGTCTCCCTTATTTGAAGATGGGAACCACACCCCTGGTTTGCCAATCCAGAGGTACCACCCCTGATCTCAACGCAAGATTGTAGAGGCATGAAAGAAAAACTAATTCAACTAAACTAAAATAAATGGGATTCAACAATGGGATTCAATACTGTTGCCATCATGTTCTGTGTCAGACCATATCATCACAATTGGTTTGGTGTCATGTACTGAAATTATAGATTAGAATTAGATTAGAATGTTGGATTAACAGTTTTACAAAATAAAAATAACAAAAAATAAAGCAAACATGGCAGTTCAGCTTCTTATTAACATGTATTTTCATCAATAAATAATTATTTCTATGATAACCAGAAAACAGAACTTATCATTTAACAATAATTTTAATGAATTATGTCAAGGACATGGGGGGAAAAAACAAACAAATGATTTGTTGGTATTCCTAGAAATGAGGGGGGGTAAGTTGGTGAATAAAGAGATCTATTGATCCGTTCTCTTCCACTTATCCTTATTAGGGTCGCAAGGTGGCTGTAGCCTATCTCAGCTACCATAGCGAGGTACACTCTGAACAGGTGACCCACCTGATGCAGGACTAACACAAGCTTGCAATAAATTTTGCAAAGCTATTTGTGATGGCAAGAGGATAAACTCTTCTAATGTTGGTGGCCTAAAAACTTTTTAAACTGTAATTTGGACTGTACAAGAAATATAAAATAAACTTATGATAAAAATAAAACACCTCAAACTGCCCAAACTAATGTCATGCCAAGGAAGAAGCCTCAAAACTTTATACATAGCAATTATATAAGTTAAGCAAGTTCTTTCTGCACACAAATGTTTATATTATACAACAACAGTGGGAACATGTCTGTCTGAAATATGTTATTGGTATCAAATTCAAAATATGCTTATATTAAAAATGAAACTGCTGACACTCCAGATAATAGACTGTGATTTTCTTTATATCCTTTCCTATGTTTGAATTTCATTAAGCAGTGGCTTATAGGATTCACAGAAAATGATATGCAACTGATCTGATCCAGCAAGACCACTCCTCAAGTCAGCAAAGCAATTATATGACAAATTGTCTGGATTGTCATAATATACATTTGATTCGTGAAATTAGATTAAATAAAACACCTGTGGATGACAGCAGTTTATATAATAATTTGAAGACAAATCAAAGAAAACAAATGAAGGAAGAGCAAGAAAACAGCTTGTAATGAAGTGAATTTTCAGGTCAACCATTTCCAAAAAAAAGCATCAATGAAAGTCTCCACTCAGTTTCCACTCAACACAAAGAGAGGCCCCAATATAAATACGTAACACTGAGTGGAATAACAGTTAAAAGTGTTTTATTACATGAGAAATTACAATCGAGATTGATGCAGGCTAAAAGATGCAATGGACAGCAAAAACAAAGACATCAATATTTCACAGTTTGTTTTTATTGATAAAATCTGTTTCCTTTTGTTTGAAATCTGGTTCAAGTTTACACTCATTCAACAAGATCTTCACATAACAAGATACGTGACTGACATGTCACATACTGATTAGATGATGATGTGATCCTGCATAATTATAGGTTACATGGTAAAAATAACAATAATAGCAAAGTTATTATAAGCACACAGTTTGTGTGAACTGATGCCAGCATGTTTGATGGAAAAGGCCCCTTAGATTCCCATGATGAGCTGAATGTTTGAAACAAGAAAAATCTTTCATAAAATTAATTGTTTCTGTACTCTTCTTTCACCTTTTTTCTCTTTATTTGTCCCCCTCCCTCCTACGGTGTCATATTTTCTCTTATCTGCTTTATCTCTTCTTTCACTTGCAGGGAATCAGCAGCCTTTTTAGCTCTCTCAAAGTGGTACGTCTGCTGCGTTTGGGTCGAGTTGCCAGAAAGCTGGATCATTACATTGAGTATGGCGCTGCTGTGCTGGTTTTGCTGGTTTGTGTGTTTGGCCTGGCAGCCCACTGGCTGGCCTGTATCTGGTACAGCATCGGATACTATGAGGTGATTGATGAGAACACCAACACTGTGAGGATGGACAGCTGGTTGTACCTGTTAGGAGAGACAGTTGGGACGCCATACAGATTCAATGCCTCGAGCTCAGGCATCTGGGAGGGCGGGCCCGGTAAAGACTCAGCCTACATCACTTCGTTGTACTTTACCATGACCAGTCTGACAAGTATAGGCTTTGGTAACATCGCCCCAACGACAGACGGAGAGAAAATCTTTGCTGTGGCCATGATGATGATTGGATGTGAGTCCTTGTCATTTCCTTTCAACTTATTTCTCTGTGCCAAATATGCAAAACATTTCTGCCTTCCAGTTGTTTTTTGAGTTTATCAAGGTACTTGGCAGGAAAATTGCTGAACTTACCAGTTTTTCTGTGGATTTGACTCTCTCAGTGTCTTTTTTTCCCCTTATGACACCAGACAGACTCCATGATGCTGAGACCAGGTCTCTTTCTATAGTCTCCAGATTATCTCTTGCACTCTCTTTGTACTGCTCGTAAATCATTTCTTCCTGTCAAAACAACTTATTTTAGTTCTTTATGACTCTGACTGGATTGTCAAACATCTCTCCATTGATATTAAGGCAGTGTCAGCAATCTGTAAAGTCTTAGTCTAGGCTTTGCCATGTTTAACCAACCTAACGTTACAGTATACAACCTGGTAAATCCTGGAATATCTGTAGTTATACTGTACACCCGAAAAGTAAGGAGCTAAAGCATGCTCTTTAAGCTCTAGTCAGCTGCTACCAGAGAGGCCTTTCACAACATACAGCCTTTGTTACCGTCATTGTTAATATAAGCAAAAGCTTCTCACAACACTGTCAAAATGAAACATCCAGAGAGAGAGGATATTATGATTCATAGCTCTGTCAGTCAACCTACACGTGAATAATATTTTAATGATCAAATATCCTGTCCTATTCTTATGTGTGTTTGGTTTATATTAATGTATATAAATGCAGGACTAGGTAAACTTAAACCACAGGACTGTGTGCAATGTCTGTGTTTTTAAGTTCAGGTTTAGTTTATAGATAATTGTCCTGTTAGACCTCCAACTGTCTTTCGAAGCAAAATTAATGTAACATCCTGTGTTCTCCAACTTGAGTGTATTTAAATATTTATAGAAAATATATAAATTTAAATATAGAAAACTATTCATCTCCATCTAGTTTAGTGTACTAGAAATACCACTGACAATACCACTGTCTTTTTTTCTTGCGGAATTGCTGACCCCTCCCAGAAACTATTGTTAGGCTTCCATTGCATTTGCTCTTGGTATTCAGACTCTCCAGAAGATACATTTCTTTTTCTTTTTCCCACCAACAATATCATAAAATGTTCTGTTCCCATTCCTACTCTGCAGAAGATAAATCTTTCTATTCTAATGTCTTTGTCTTTGCACTATAAATAACAGTCTATTTTATGTAACTGCTGAAAGTAAAGGCAAGCAGACAGTTTCATGTTTTCCAGAGCAGAGAGGACATCTGCACGTAAAAGCTTTTCCTCACTGAGCTGAAGAATGAGGAGCTGTAGGGTTGACAATTTGTCTCCTTGATCGGAAGCTCCTGTCACCTTGTGTCATATCAGAATCTACAGTCTGTTAGCCTAGATCAGCTTCACACACCTAATGTTGCAGAAAAGGTAATCAAATGAAATAGGTGTCTAAAGCTTCGCTTGCAAATTGAAAATAATGAAAATATCTGATTTGTGATGGCATTGTTAGGCAGCAAACCTCAGAAATTAGGCCCCAGAGTGTTTAATGAAAATCCATTTCTAACCCAGTTTTAGTTGCTGTTTTTGAGTGTGCAGTGATTTATGTGGCTGTGAGAGCTTGTCCCTTTGAAACTCTTGTAAAGACGCTGTACTGAGACTATATTGAAGCTACCAAGCAGTCTGGTCTGGGTAGACCATTTGGTTTCCTATTAGAATTCACAAGGAACGAAAGGAATGAAAGCTGTAATTAGCACACCTTTCTTGTCCACAAAGTGGCTGAAAGCCTCTGGAGAATCAGTTTGGGTCATTAGGAATACGAGTGAGAGAGTTATAATGCTAACTGCAATATCAGGTTGGAATCTGCAGGAAAGACAAAAATAGATGGTTAATTTCCTTTCCAGAACATTCTACATCTGTGATATCTACATCAGAGATGCTGGACTGAAATCTGTTCATCACTTCTGTGATAATACCAAGAGATTCACCATTTTATGTAGCCTAAGGAGCTTGGAAAGAACCTCATCATGAAATTTCTTTAAGTTTCTTGAGGACATTTCATCTCTCAACCAAGAATCTTCTTTAGCTCTAAAACCAAATGGTGGTACAGAGTACAGTAGTTACAGAATAATAGTTTGCCATTTTTGCAGTGCACATTGAGGAGAATGGAAACCTTAACACTGAAGTTTACCCGAAGCCCACAGACACAGACCAGTACCTAGTCTTTGACTCCCACTACCTTGTGGAACACAAATTTGCAGTAATAAGGACCCTGCAACACTGGGTAGAAAACGCTCCCTCTAAGCCAGAAGGGAAAGAAAAGGAACACACACATCTAAAGAAAACTGTTAAACCCAACTGGGCCTTCATCAAATCAGCAAAGATGCACAGGAGAGAAGGTCTGACACCAACTTTGGGCAAACAGAATGACAAACGGAACAACACTGTCATTCTTTGTTTATCAGGTTTATCAGAGAAACTCAAGAGAATTTTATTCACGCATGACATCCCAGTGTACTTCAGACCCAGCAACACCCTCAGACAAAAACTGGTTAATCCCAAGGAGAAAACTCCCAAACGCAAGCTAAACAAAATAGCTGCATAGCATACAAACAAAATAGTGTATGCTATGCAGTACGGTGAGGCTCGGACATACACTGGAGAAAAGAAACAGCCACTCAGTAAACCCATGGCACAACATAGAAGAGCCACTTCAACAAGACAAAATTCAGCTGTCTATCTGCATCTAAAGGATAAGAAGAAGAAGATAGATGGCTTAAAAGAGGAGTGCAAGAAGCCATCTACAGTGGTGTGAACAAGTGTTTGTCCCCTTCATGATTTCCCAAATTTGTTTTTGGTATATTTACCACACTTAAATGTTTGAGATCATCAAACAGATTTAAGTATTTCACAAAGATAAACACAAAATTCAGTGAATGAAGATGTTATTATTAAAGGGGGGGGACAAACCTACATGGCCCAATGTGAAAAACACACATGCATTCATACTGATAAATGTATGTGCAAAAGTTTTGAGCCATCTCCATTTCTATGTATTTTGCTAGAAAAATGGTAAATAGGTCCAGCAATTTCTTGAAACATGGAAAAGCATACATCAAAATACAGTATGTTTGACATAATCAAAAACGTTTCCTAATGAACTTGAAAGTCAATTCTAGATTTGTATCCTTTATTCTTTATTCCTTCATAGCCTTAACTTTCTTTCTCTCTTTCGCTTTCATGTAATTTTTTGAAACAATCTTTGGGAAAAAGGTAATTCCAAAGCTGTTCTTTGGTGGTTGAATGCCTTTACTTGTTTTCTGTCAAAATGATCCCTTCAATAATGTTGAAGCCTGAGCTCCGTGGAGTCACTGCGTGACCAATATCATTCCATTTTGTGTTTCTCTATCCAAATTTTACTGCACTGGCAGTGTGTTTCGGATCTTTGTCATATTGAAAAATTAAGCCACTGCATTTATAATCCCCAGCACCACTTGCTGAAATGCAGCCCCATCCATAACAGCGCATTCACTATATTAGATTGGTGTAGACACTCAATCTTGTACATCTCTCCTGATGTCCTCTGTAAATATTAACAATGAACCAAAAATTTCTAATTTGTATTAATCACTCCATAACTTGTTGCCACTGATTTTCAGTCCATCTTTTCTGTATTGTGACATAGCCTAGCTTTTTCTCCCTATTTCAATTCTTTAAGAAATGTTTCTTGATAGTCACTTAGGTCTTTGTTGAATTTTTGTCTTTCAGATACTGCTCATTTGCTGCTTTAGGTCTGACTTTTGTTCTTTCATTTACAATTTGTGTAGTTTCCTCAAATTTATTGAGGACAAACTGTGCACCATGCAAAAATATGGCAAGTTTTCAACTAATAGTGTTCCTATCCAGGGGGGTCTCAGTGGCTGTAGGTAGCTTATGTGACGGAACAAAATGTGCTCCTTTGGAAAACCAATGACACCCACCAGAAATGATGTTTTAATAGCGAAGTTGTTCAACTCACACCTGGGTGACCCAATGGAGGGCAGCTCCATGGGTAGATCGTGGTACATATTGAAGATTGGGTAGACCTGTGCCAGGGTCTGGTTCCTCTCTGAGAGTGAGACGGATGGTGCCTTCAATTTCCCTGCAGCAGCGTTCTGCCATATGGATCAGTTCTCTGACACAGCTGCTCCCATACCAGGATGTGATGTGATGGAGGATGCTCTCCACAGTGCCTGTATAGAAAGTCCTGAGGATCCCTGGAGAGACCCTGAACTTCCTCAGTTGTCGGAGATGATACAGGCACTGCCTAGCCTTTTTGGATTAGACCTGAATGTGGGCAGACCATGCCAGGTCTGAGGAGATCCACTTTATCCATGTAGGCCGCCCAACACCACTGTGCTATCAGCAAACTTCACAATGGTATTGGAGCCATGGGTGGCCACCAGAGATGGGCTACGCGTTACTGTAATCTGATTCCTTTTTTTGAGTAACGTGTAAAGTAAGGGATTACTATTGCAGAAAAGGTAATTAGATTACTGTTACTTTCCCCGTAAGCACGCTGCATTACTGCGTTACTAAAACCATGATTTTTTTGCGAGAGTGTCTCATGTCAATGATGTAAGCGAGTGCGACTTTCGTGGCAACAGCTGTGTGCAGATCAAAAACAGATAATATAACGAGTGCCGGAGAGAGTATGAGCGTGCAGCGTTTAAAGCGTGGAAGTACTGACCTTACTTTGAGTTTGATTCTGTAAAAAGTGATAAAAACATTAGCGTCCGCTGCTCACTGCGTGGGAAGAAAACTTCTTTTTACAGCGAAAAAAACCCTAAATGTCTGAGTAAGCACCGACAGTACGCTGCCACAGCAATGTGTAATTCACAGAGAAACTGCCGTATCCTTCCACTGACCGCTGCGGCACACCTGCACCAGGGCAAACCTCCGCCTACCCCACTCCTGCTTTACAGGTGAAAATAGAGCAACAGGACCGCTGAGTCTTTGATTTTATTTATTTTCTGCTGTGTTTTACTTGCATCTAT